ATTGCTGGGTCATATGGCAGTTCTGTTTCCAGTTTTTTAAGGAATCTCCACACTGTTCTCCATAGTGGCTGTACTAGTTTGCATTCCCACCAACAGTATAAGAGGGTTCCCTTTTCTCCACACCCTCTCCAGCATTTATTGCTTGTAGACTTTTGGATAGCAGCCATTCTGACTGGTGTGTAATTGTACCTCATTGAGGTTATAAATGTTCTAATTTTGATCATTTTTAATTTTATAGATGGAATTTACTTTGGTTTAATCATTCATTAAGTTCCAGAACTGGTTAATTTATTTACTTTTCAGTTTTATTGCTTTGTTTACTTTGTGGGATCTTTACTAATTTTTCATTAATTTACATGCAGTCTTTGCTTATGGATTCATTTATTCCACAGGACTTGAGATACAGAATTGTTTTCTTTTAAAGTAAAACTTCCCTCAATTTTTAAAAATGTTTTATTGAGATGCAACATTGTGTTAGTTTCAGGTGGATACAACATAATAATTTGATATTTGTATATGTTGTAAAATGATCACAACAATAAATCTTTTTAACATCCATCACCACATATAATTATAATTCTTTTTTTGTGATGAGAAGTTTTAATATCTACTCTCTTAGCAATTTTCAAATATATAATGCAGTATTATCAAGTGTAGTTACCCTGCTGTATGTTACATTGTAATGACTTACTTATTTAATAACTGGAAGTTTGTACCGATTGACTCCCTTCACTCATTTCATACACTCTCACCTCTGGCGACCACCAGTCTGCTCTATCTATGAGCTTATTTTTTTGTTTTTTAGATTCGACATATAAGGGAGATCATAATGTATTTGTCTTTCTGTTTGATATATTTCACTAATCACAATACCCTCAAGGGTTCATCAGGTTGTCAGAAATGACAAGATTTCCTTCTCTTTTAGGGCTGAATATTCTATTGTATATACACACAACATATTCTTTGTCTATTTATCTTTCAGTGGATGCTTTGGTTATTTCTATATCATTATTGTTCAGTCACTCAGTCATGTCTGACTCTTTGCGACCCCATGGACAGCCTACCAGGCTCCTCCATCCATGGGATTTTCCAGGCAAAGGTACTGGAGTGGGTTGCCATTTTCTTCTCCAAGGTACTTAAATTCTAGTGTATATAAATCAGGTTTCCCTCAATGCTTGTTTAAGACACAGGTTCAAGGGCTTAGCTCATGCTCAGCTGTGTTCAGCTCTTTGCGACCCTATGGACTGTAGCCCACCAGGCTCCTTCGTCNTTTTGAACCAATCCATTTTTCCATGTCCAGTTCTAACTGTTTCTTCTTTACCTGCATGCAGGTTTCTTAGGAGGCTGGTAAGGTGGTCTGGTATTCCTGTCTCTTTAAGCATTTTCCCCATAGTTCATTGTGATCCACACCATCAAAGGCTTTAATGTAGTCAGTAAAGCAGAAGTAGATGTTTTTCTGGAGTTCTCTTGCTTTGTCTCTGATCCATTGCATGTTAGCAATTTGATCTCTGGTTCCTCTGCTTTTTCTAAATCCAGCTTGAACATCTAGAAGTTCTCAGTTCACATACTATTGAAGCCTTGCTTGAAGGATTTTGAGCATTACCTTGCTAGCATGTGAAATGAACGCAATTGTACAGGCATTTGAACATTCTTTGGCATTGCCTTTCTTCAGGATTGAAATGGAAAATGGCCTTTTCTAGTCCTGCAGCCACTGCTGAGTTTTCCAACTTTGCTGACATACCGACTGCAGCACTTTAACAGCATCATCTTTTAGGATTTGAAATAGCTCACCTTGAATTCCGTCACTTCCCCTATCTTTGTTCATAGTAATGCTTCCTAAGGCCCACTTGAATTCACACTCCAGGATATCTGGCTCTAAGTGAGTGATCACACCATTATGGTTATCTGGGTCTTTAAGACCTTTTCTGTACAGTTCGTCTGTGTATTCCTGCCACCTATTCTTAATATCTTCTGCTTCTCTTTGGTCCTTGTCATTTCTGTCCTTTATTGTGCCCATCTTTTTGCCCATGAAATGTTCCCTTGGTATCTCCACTTTTCTTGAAGAGGTCTCTAGTCTTTCCCATTCTATTTCTTTCCTCTATTTCTTCTCATTGTTCACACAAGAAGACTTTCTTGTCTCTCCTGCTATTTTTTGGAACTCTGCATTCAGATCGGTTTATCTTTCCATTTCTCCTTGTCTTTCACTTCTCTCCTTTTATCTTCTATTTGTAAGGCCTCCTCAGGCAACCGTTTTGCCTTCTTGCATTTCTTTTCCTTGGGGATGATTTTGGTCACCGCCTCCTGTACAGTGTTACGAACCTCAGTCCATAGTTCTTCAGGCACTCTGTCTTTCAGATCTAATTCTTTTAATCTGTTGTAAACGATGCTGCAGTGAACATAGAGGTGCATATATCTTTTAAAGTTAGTGTTTTTCATAAATACTGAGAAGCTGAATTCCTGGATTATATGATAGCTCTGTTTTAATTTTTTTTGAGGAACCCACATACTGGCTTCCATAGTGCCTGCACCAATTTACATTCCAGCCAGTGGTACACATGGGTTGCCTTTTGTCCATATCCTAGCAAACACTTGTTATGTTTTGTCTTTTTCGTAGAAACTGTTCTAACAAATATGAAGTGATATCTAATTGTTGTTTTGATTTGCTTTTTCCTGATGATTAGTTGTTGCTGAATACCTTTTTATATACCTGTGGCCTGTATGTCTTCTTGGGAAAAATGTCTATTCCAATCCTCTCTGTTTTTAACTTGGATTATTTTAATTGATATTCGGTTGTATGAACTCTTTATATGTTTTTGGATATTAATCTGTTAATCAGATATATGCTTTGTAAATATTTTCTCCCATTTGCTTTGCTATGCAGAGGAAGTAGTTTGATATAGTTACACTTGTTTGTTTTTGCTTTTGTTCCTTTTGCT